TTAGTGAATGAATGAATAAATGAGTGAGTGAGTGAATGAATGAATGAATGAGTAAATGAATGAGTGAGGGAGTGAGTTAGTGAAAGCCTTGGTAGACGGCTAGATGGCTCACAGCCACAGAAAGGGCTACCTATGCTTTTCTGTAGGATGCTGGAGATCTTGGGGCACATGGGAGAAATTTCAAGTTGCCATGTAAATGGGCCCAAATCCCATCATACTTCGGGATCACAGGGTAAGTACTTTCTGGTCCCAAACCAGAATGAGCCTCATTATCTGTCATAGGAGCTCTCCAGATGAACTTGAAGCACCTTACAAGGCTGTCCTGGGGGCACCACGAAATCTCCTGCTTGATAGAAATGTCTTTTTTCAGACAAATGATCCCAAAGTTCCCTTTTAATGGAAAAAGGGAGCAGAAAGAAGGGGCCACCAACCCTGGTGCTAACAACTGATCACTTAACCAAATGGGGAAAACAAGCTGTTTTGAAGACTATTTTCAGAGACAATTTGAGAATTTAAGTTTACCATTTCCTCAGTTAAAAACAGCCTAAGAGCTTTTTTGACAAGGAAAATTGAGGCCGTGAGAGACCTCTTGCTCTGAGAGAGGCTGATGAACATGGTCCGATTGACTCAAGAACACAAGCAGAGAGGAGAAGGCAGAACACTGGCCAGATATGTAATGAGGCACCATGAGGGAGGAGGGTTGGCAAAAGAAATAACGAGCCTCTCATCTGCCTCAGGGTCATGGAGGGACTTTTATGTAAGTGACCATTTGTTACCTCCATCTAGACTTCACCCAGCCAGCACAGTGTCCAGGGCACCAGGGCTGATGTCAGGAAGACTCATCTTTGTGAGTTCAAAATCTAGCTTCAGACGCAGGACACTGGCTAGCTGTGTGACCCTGGGCAAGTCACTTCACCTTGTTTGCCTCAGTTTCCTCATCTGTAAAATATACTGGAAAAGGAAATGGCAAACCAGTTCAGTATTTCTGCAAGAAAACCCCAAATGAGGCCATGGAGAGTGGGGCACAACTGAAAATGACTGAACAACTCTCCTAGGCTGAATCCTGCCTGAGATAGGGGAGTGGGAGCTCAGGCAGCCCCTTCCAGCCAAGCCCAGAGACTGAGGGCAGTGTGGCTGCTGTCCAAGGGTCAGCCTGACTAGAGTCGAATAAGCTCACATCGGAGCAGCACTCAAAGACTCCTTTCTCTACCATGAATGATGTTGATGACATGAGGAGGGAAACCACAGGACCCAGAAGTGTCGAAGGATCATTTGTTACAACTACAGCTTCAGAGACTGAAAGCTGGAAGGGACCTCCAGGCCACCTAGTCTAACTCCTGCATTTTACAAATAGGGAAACTGAGGCTCAGAGAGGGCTCATAAGATGTGGAGCTGGAGCAAATGCCTCCTTAGAAGCTCTGATCTGGCCCCTCCCTGCCCTTGCTCAAGGCTCTTGATGCCTTTGGAGGGAAGTGGTCCCCCTTAGCCTGCCTCTGGGACATCATCCGTCAGCCTGGGCTTGCTGAGCACCCACCTAAGCCCAACTTTCCTGTCCTTAGGGACATCCTGAGAGATGCTCATAGGCCAGGATCCTGGACACCAAGGAGGCAGCAGAGCCCTAGCCCTGAGGAGTCCCTCAGACCTGGTCTAGGCTAGCTGTGGGATCCCAGACCAATCATTCACTGTCTCTGAGCCTCAGTTTCCCCATCGGCACAGCGACAACCATAATGCCAGCACTCTCGGGACTCAAGCTTGTTCTGAGGAACAAATGAGAACAAGTCTAACAACAAGGGGCTTTCATAGCCAAGGGAAAGAGACTCAAGGGAAGATGATATCCCCAGAGAAGTCTGACCTCGGCCTTAGCTTTCACCCTTAAGACTGGAAGGGACCTCCCATTTCAGCCAGTCCAATGGCTCCATTTTGTGGAGCACATAACTGAGGCTCCGAGTTGAGGAGTGACGAGAGAGGATTCTCCGGTTATCCTCTGGGTTAAGAACTCCGAGGAAGGGAGGCCAGCCTGCCACTGCCGGGGCGCAGCTGGGGAAGCAGAAGGGGTCTGGCTCCCACCTGCCCCACTCGGGCCTTCTCCCAGCCTCCAAAAGCCAAAGTCTCCTTGGCTAGCTGCCGGCCCACCGCTTGCTTCCCGGCCCCAAATAGGATGTTGGTTCACCAGAGACGCAAGCCCTGGAGCGGTCGAGACCCCCGACTGGACGGGCTGGTCTGCCTGTGGGAACAGCTAATGCTTTCTCCTCGGGGTTCTGGATCGGGGGGTGCAGGGTTGCCTCTCTCGTCTCACGTCCCCGCCGGCCGCCTCCCAGGCGGCGGGGGCGACGGCAGGTAATGTGGTCTAATTGCTCGGCGGCAGGCTCTCATCTCCGAGCCCCCCTCCGCCATCCTCCCCGCCCCCGCCACCTCCCCTGGCGGGCAGCTGGGCTCAGGAGCTTTTTCCAAAAGCCTCTAATTGGATGACAGTAATTTGTGTCCTGCCCTAATGCAGCTGGCCCGCCTGAGGGGCAATTATCCCACTCGGTGACGTGGCCACTTCTCGGCTCCCCGACCCGGAGCGCGCCACCCCATAAGTAGCCAGAACTCAGTGGGGAGGGAGGACAGAGGCGAGACGGACAGCCACCTGTCCTTAGCCGCTCCGGCCGGCCACCGCCCCTGCCCTCCCGTCTGTGTGCCAGCGTCCTCTCTCCAGTCGGCCCCCCGAAGCATGCGGTGAGGGTCCGGCCGACCCGAGCCCGCAGTCCACAGTCCGCCAGCCTCGCCCGTCCTCTCCTCTGCAAGCTAGAGCACCAGCACTCGGAGCTCAAGGTAGGGGCAGCGTCCGTTCTGGCCCGGGGGGTGGGTTGGGGGCCCGGGCAGTGGCCGTGACCAGAGTTCCCGGTGATAGTCTTCGCACCCTGCCTTTCCTCCAAACTTCGCCTCTGGGCGGGCGTCCTGTGCAGGTTGTTGGAGAGCTCAGAGCATCTCTCGTCCTGAGCGCCGGGAGCTTCCTAGGCGTGCCATCCCGCTGAGATTGCCCCCTGAAGATTGCGCTAGCGAGCGTTCCGGCTCAGTTCGGGGTTCCGGCCTCTGTATCTTTGGCACAGGCTGCCCTGGGGCTCAGGAGGAGCACACAGCCTCCTGGGAGTCTAGAACGGGTACTTAACATGATGTTAAGATGTGGACAGATGTCAGGGGGTCCAGGAACTTGGCGAGTGAGAAAAAATCTTCACTCCTGTCTAATGGACACTTGGCCATTTCCTTCAATAATTTACGATTCTGAGAAGAGTCCACAGGCTTCGCCAGACTTATGTCCAAAGGGTCCAAGACACAGACGAGGGTAAGAGCCCCTGAGCTAGAGATGGGGAAGGGGCGCTTTCTCTATTTCTCGCTGGTAAAAGGTCCTTCCTCAGATTGGTCCTGGGACAAGTGTCCGCAGACCTTCCGTCCATGGAACGGAGAGCTTGGCAGCAGCCCCTGTACGCAGTCAGGCAAGCAGGCTGCAGCTGCCCCTCAGTGGCTGATGTCAGTGGTTCTCCTGTTCCCTCACTGGGTTTGGGGTAGATTCTAAGGCTTTGAAATCGGGGTCTCTGTTGTCCGACACTATCAGTGAACTCACCAATTCTATTCCTCCTGCATAACCTTGGGTAAGACCCTGAGCTTCTCTGTCAACAAACAGTTATTAAGCACTGCGTGTGCCTGGCACTGCGCTAAGCACTGGAGATACAAAGAGAGGTAAAAGGTTGTCCCAGCTCCGAAGGAGCTCAGTCTAATGGGCGAGACAATATGCCAACAACTATATACAAAGAAGACATAGACTAATTAGAGAAAACCAACCAAGGGGAAGTGCTAGCATTAAGGGGGATCGAGAAAGGCTTCCTGTAGAAGGTGGGATATTAGTGGAGACTTCAGGGAAGCCAAGGAAGCCAGGAGACAGAGAAGAGGTTGAGACTTGGAGGCCTGGGTGGGGGGGGGGGCAGCAGAGAAGATGCCTGGGCAGGAAATGGTCAGTCTTGTGTGAGAGACAGCCCGGAGGCCAGGGTCACTGGGGCTGGGGGTAGGGGGGTGTTTGGAAGCCTTCCTTTGTCTCACCAGGTGCCAGGTACTGTGTATGTGCTAAGCACTGGGCATACAGAGAAAGGCACAAACACCATCCCACAGAATTCATGTTCTAACCTCATGTTCCTCAGCTGCAAAATGAGTTGAAGTCGATGCCCTCCCAGGTCCCCTCCTGCCCTAGCTCTAAGGTCCTATGACTGCCTTCCTGCTTTCTTTCTTCCCCCCCTTGGGTATGGATCCTGAGGGAGTCAGTCCCTCTACCTGTCCCCATCTCCCACCACTGCCCTGTCTTCACTTTCCAGATGCAGAGGTGCACCCGAAGCCTCCTCTTTGCCTCCCTCATCCTCTGTGCCTCCCTGTCAGAGACCCTGGGACTCGTGTTATCTGTAAGTGCCTCTGAACCCCAGCTGCTCCTTATGGTGGGGAGGGGGATGGGAGCAAATTCCCACTGTTATCTCAGGGAATAGTGGAAACACTGCCTTATGTGTAGCTGGCAGTGCACAGAAAAAGTTCTCAGCTTTAAGCTGGGAAAATAAGTCTCTGTATCTCCCTTAATCATAGGAAAAGAAGGCTTACAAATCCCCAGGTTCCCTGCACTGCCCCGGGCAATGCCACCTAAAGGGGGAGACCTCAGGGAGGAGCTGGAAGGGAAGATTTGAAAGAGGGGGCCAAAGGCCAAGTAGGGAGGATCTGGGCTTTGGGGCAAGGTAGGAAACCAAATCCATGGTTGACTCTGATTGTCCCAAGGTATCCACAGCTCCTTGGGTTCAGTTCCACCATGCTGGAAACTGCATTAGATCAGCCAGCTGGACAAACGTTTGATGAATTTCAGGTAGACCTCGATTTGTACAATCAATTCTAACTCTAAACCTAATAACCCTAATGGCTTTAAGCTAGAGGAGGTTTCAGATATCAACATTAAAAACACTTGCTGTCTGCTTGCCACTCTGCAGCCCACTGGAGGATACTTGCAAAGTTGTATGTAAATAAAATATTGACAAAAGGTATCACTGAAAATTCAGTAAAAGAGTTTTATTTGTTATAGGAACCCTGAAGAAAACCCTTTTGCAAAATGAATACTCTTTATGTTCATTGAATTTATACAATAATTGGCATGCCAGTCACCGTCAGTACTCCCAACAGAACCTGAATTTTTGTATATTGGATTTAAAGTGAGGTGCAACTGAATCACCTGTAAATAATGCTGTATCAGAGATAAGGTTCTAGGAAAGGAATCCCTGAGAGCAGCAAGTCTAACATCTTAGCTTTACAGGTGAAGAAATTGAGACCCAGGGCACCTTAGTCTCAATGAGTTAACGCAGTTTCCAATATTACTTAAATCACCCCACTTTGCAGATGACCCCAGGAGAATCTGACTCCCTGTGGCTCATTCCACACACTAATTTATAAACTATTTCTCTGGCATCCTGAAAGACACTGGGCTTTGTTCTACATTGTAAAAGTTACTTGGGCTATGTTCATTCATTCATTCAATCCAAGGTTACTTGAAATAAAGTTAAGTTTCAGCTCACATCAAGTTAGATGTTATCTTACGAAAAGAAGTTTCAGAACTGAAACTTTTTTCTTAAGCTAGAACCTATAGCAGGTAAAAAAAAAATTCAATTACCTAACTGTTCTTTCTCCCTTTGGTTAAGGCCAAGGAAAAGAGAGGCTGGACCTTGAACAGTGCTGGTTATCTCCTTGGCCCACGTAAGTGAAAGAGATGCTTATTTTCTCCTCCATGGTGAATAAGACAAATGTTGACTCTTTCTTTCAAGCTCAACTTAACTAGCTGAGTCATCTGAGACAAATCTCTTTACTTCTTTAGGCCTCAGTTTCTTCATCTATAAATTGAAGGGTTTGGATCATGTTTCCAACTTGAAAACACCACGTTTCTAAATCCTCCCCTTTATAAAGGAATGTGTAGTCAGTTATTCACTGTTGGACTGAACTAAAATGTGCAGAGTAGGACAGAGAAAGATGTGAGTCTGAACAAAAGGTTCTTCCTGGGATAAATGAAGACTTTGTCTATAGAACACCAAACCTCTGAATGAATCTGGGGGGATGTGGATAAAATTAGGTTGATTCAGATGAGCAGGGTGAGGTGGTGGCGGAGAATTAATCACCTGTGAATTACCTTGAAGTTTTAATCAATAGGTCCCAAGAAAGCACTTAGCTAAACTGGAGGTGAGGGAAAGGGGAGAGCCCAGTGCTACATGCATTTATTTTTCATTTTTTATTTTCAGTGAGGCAATCGGGGTTAAGTGACTTGCCCGGGGTCACACAGCTAGTGAGTATCATGTGTCTGAGGTCGAATCTGAACTCAGGTCCTCCTGATTCCCGGGCCAGCGTTCTGTCCGCTGAACCACCTAGCTGCCCCTATATACATTATTTTTTTTTTTTTGCTTGGGCAATGGGGGGTTAAGTGACTTGCCCAGGGTCACACAACTAGTAAGTGTTATGTGTCTGAGACCGGATTCGAACTCAGGTCCTGCTGAATCCAGGGCCAGTGCTCTATCCACTGCGCCACCTAGCTGCACCCCCCCCAAATACATTATTGAGGCACTGTCCTGGGCTTTCTCACTCCTACTTATAAAGCTAAGTCCTTGCTCCCCTTGTAACTCATCATTCTTTTGGGGAGATTAGCAAATACCCCCGTAGTTATGTAACTCCAATCTGAATAAGAAGAGCTTTCTTTGCAGACTGCAAATGCTCTTTCAGGGTCCCCAGGAGGGGGGCAGGGCATACCGTGAGTGCCCTTTGTTAGAGTAGGGATGTGGACTTGGAGGCAAGGCTGTTACAGAAGGGTCCACGTAGATGACCTGGCCTAGGAAGGTGGCCCTTCTGCCTTCTCAGTGACTCTGCTGGGTCAAATGCCTCATTTGGGGAGGGTGGATTCTTTCAACCAATCCAAATGCTAGCTACCATGGAGAGAGGCATGAGCTTCTGGGACCAGTTAGTTTCAGTCTGTGATCCTCAGATGCTGCCTTATGCACATCGTGTTGCATTTGACACGAGGAATCGTAGAACTTTGGTTTTGGAAGGGTTCTTACAGTTCACCTTGTCTAACCCAGGTCTTTTACAGATGAGGAAACAGAGGCACCCAGGCTTACGCTCAGGGTCTTAAAGCTAATTAGTGTCAATGCTGGGGACAAAAAGCCAGGTCTGACTTTTAGGACCACTGTTCCTTTGTATGGTTTCTGAAATATGTCATTAAGCAAACAAATCCCCAAACTGGAACCCTGCAAAAAAGAAGAGTATTTTTGAAGGGCATTTTCCATGCATCCCATTTGAAGTAGATGACAGGAGTTAGATCAGACTTTTTTTTTTTTAAGTGGCAGGCGTGGTGGATTTCTCATGGCATTGAA